GCACCCTTTGGTGCTCGGACCCTAATAACATATTACATGGACACTGAGAAAAATTACAAGAACAAATCATCTCAATGGGGACAATGGAGTGTATTGTATCGTATTGTATTGATTCATATCATATCGTATCATATCGCATGAGTATGATTTGTATCATGTCGTATCGTATTGACTCATATCGTATCGTATTGATTCATATCATATCGTATCATATCAAAGCGCATTGTATCGTATTGTATTATATAACATAGTATCATATCATTTTGCATTAAATCATATTGCATGGATGGTGGGAACAAGTATAGGGACAATATCATATCGTATCATATCATATCATTCTTATTGTATAGATTAATCATATTATTTTATATCGTACCGCATAGTATCAGACCATGTCCTATCACATTGTATCATATTATATAGCATTATGGCTTAGCATATCCTGTTGTATTGAGTCCTATAATTTCAAATAATATCATTCAGATCAATTACAGGAACAAATAATCCCAGTGAAGACAATAACGTGTATCGTATTGTATTTTATCTTATGCATCATGTCATTTTGAATTGAAAAAAAACAACAACAAAAAACAATTGAATTTCCCTTCTGGGATAAATAAAGTATTTTTCATTTCATTTTTCATTTCATTTCATTTCATTCATTCATTTCATTTCATTTTGCATCACATCATATCCCATTGTATCATATTATATAGCATTATGGCTTAGCATATCCTGTTGTATTGAGTCCTATAATATCACATACTATCATTCAGAACAATTACAGGAACAAATAATCCCAGTGAAGACAATGACATGTATCGTACTGTATTTGCATCACATCGTATCACATTGTATTGTATTGTATAGGCAGGGGGAACAACTCTAAGAATAAATGATCTTCATGGGACGATAAAGTGCATCGTATCATATTGTATCGTATCAGTTCGTACCGTATCACTTTGTATTGAATCATATCATACCATATGGACGGGGGGGGACAAACACATTGACAATCGTTCAGTGCCCATGTGGACTCATGAACGCGAGACCATTTTGTGAATGCCTACATTTGTGTTGCAGTTTAAATACATCAGCATGTGTTTGCGGTTTATCGCCGCATTAATATTTACAACCCTGCAAGTCTCCTACTTGAAGTCTGAGATATAAGTGCGACAAAACGTGGAGCATGAGGACACCAGCTTCCTCCAAGACGTATTTGTCGTGGGGACACATTGTAAAAATAGAATGATGTAAGACGGAAGGCTTCTCAGACACCACAATCTGCACAGAACACTTTTGATCCACTCCTCTAACTCAACGACCTGCAATCCCTCTTCGCACAGCAGCCTTGTCGTTACCGTCATTACCATTTTACCTCTGGCTACGAAAACTGGGATGGGTGAGACGGGCGGGGGTGCGAGGCAGCAGGAAAACAACAGAGCGAGGAAGGAAAACATCAGAACATCCAAACGTTTATCCTTACATGGAGTCATTTCTACAGTGCGAGGTTGTGCGAGGTTTGTTAGCTGAAAGGAAAAAAGCCAAGCAGAGGTTCAAACATGCATGTGAGGACTGAATGATTTGAAATGGGAGCATAAGAAAGGACAAGGTAACGGTGGAATTTCAGCATCATTACCTCCCTGAGATAAACAACAGCTTACTTGGGCAGAGAATAATAGAATCTGCAGAAAGGAACAGGTATGTGTTAGGGTTATATGTTTGTAAATGGAAATACATGATGCAAAAATGGTTGTGATGTGTTGTTTTCTTTTATACGGATTGCAACTGGAAACTCATTCGTACTTCTGCAAAATGAAACAACCAACCTCAGAGAAACTGTGGGAGTTGGAGCCATATGGATAACTGTACTGATGCTTGGCTTCAGTGCTGTGGACATCACAACCAGATAAGCTGTCTTTCACTTACACTTAAAGACCCAGTCGTCCACGCTGAGCCGTCTAATTTTCAATATACTGTTTCTGTGTGACAATGATTCGTGTCCACACAAGGTCATTTTTTATAAAGATATCCGCCTTAAATGAAATATCTGAACACAAAGCAAAAAAAAAAAACACAACTAAATCTCTTTTTCTTCATCTTCTTTTGAATTGACAAAGCATCAAAGCTTCCATCCGGTACGAGGCACGACAGACAATCCAGCTGACCAAATCATTATTTTATAATCTTGACGTCATCCGACAGAAAGCTACACGATCGGTCTCAGTGAAGATACTTCCACACATGCCTCCTCGATCCTGTCCGTTATTTACAAATGTCTTTTTTTTTTGGGTTACAAAACACTGATTTAGGGCAGAAGGAGGGCTTAAAGGGATGTTATGTTTTTTATGTAGCTGGCTTAATGTGGATGGACTCCAGTATCTCTTACATTGTCACTGAGGTTAGAAAATAGCTCAATATGGGCTAAAAACAGTTTCAGCGGACATGTGACTGTAAAAAATGACCTCTAATAAGTAGGATCGTTGAAAATTCAAGCTGAAGTAGCTTTTCAATGAGACATCTTGTCATGGATGATAAGATATCTCTCATTAGGTCATTTCTGGTTTTATATGACATTGTCCCACATTAGAGACCAAAGCAATCCACTTGTCGGGTCCCCCGTAAGAAAATAGACTCAAAAGTTTGTCGAGCTCCGGCTCTTGAGGAGAAGATGTCAGTAACTCACACAAATAGCAGCTTGTTGTCGTTCTTCTCGGATTCTAATGCAGCTTTGAAGGCCCTGACGTCGTCCTCTGAATTCCTCCCCGTCGTCTCCGCAATCTCTTCAGTGGGAAGGCGGTGTCATGTAATCTGCGATCTCGTTAGATATTTTTGGCAAGAAACAACCGCTCTGATGACTACTGAACAATCTTGTTTACATTTTTACTTGTTGCTCTCTGGCACTCTGACAGAGAGGCGTCTTTTCTTTTCTTCCTCTTTTTTTTTTTTTTGATCATGCTCCACGTCTTCTGTTGTTGTCAGGTCTTTAACTAGGCCTGTCTGACTGAGCTGTTTTTGCATCCGTCTGAATTTACCGGTCTGGTGAGAGATCCTTCAGCTGCCAGCGGTTTAAATCAGTCGTGCCTTCCAAATTTATCCGTTATATCCGTCGGCTAAGAGGTCAAGTGCGGCAATAATTCCCGTGACCTCAAAGTGTCAACTCGTGTCACGTATGGCCTAAACAAAAATGCATAATTGTGTATCAGAGCTTGAGTTAATAAAATGTTATTAGACATATTTCTGCTGCGAAGATTGAATGTTTCATGAGCCTTTTTTTAAGGCCCCTCAATTATTTGACACTTAAAGATGACAGAAAAAGTCAGATTGTGTCACATTTGAGGTTCAGGAAACAATAGAAACTACTATTTATTTCTTATTATTTCAATGGGAAGCACTCATAGTGATCAGAAGCTGTGCATGGAATATGAGCCATATCACACCGCCTCCATTAAACCCTGCTGTTTTCTGGGATTTTACACACAATAGCATCATCTGCTGGATCTGGCTGCCTCACTGACACCAGGTCACCTTCTGAAACTGTTCACTAGAGGGTGCCATATCAGCGCAGAAACTGGCATTGCAGAGCCAGTGAATCATTCCACTACACCGTTGTATTTCATTAAACTCCCTATTACGTAATAATTTAATGTCTCCCCCCCTCCCAAAAAAAAAAAAACGCTATCATCGCCGCCTGCATGCATTTATGCACTGTAGCAAATTTGAAAGACAACAAATGCCAAAGTCGATCTCCATAAAGCACACCATCTGTTGAGTTATGAGCTAAAATCATCCCATGATTTGGGAGCGAAATCTACTACAAGCATAATATCGCTGTAGCAAAGATTGATAAGCAACAACGAAATGCAATTTTCATTTTCTGCTGCTCAGAGCGGCTGCCTCCATCACACTCCCATTATGTTTTTCATAGTCCCGCGCAGGTGCTTTCGTTTACGACCACTCACGCCGCAAAATAACATAAAACCAGCAGTGGAAATTACAAAATAAGTTTATTCATATAAACAGCTACAAAATTCTATTAAACAAGGGTTAGGTTTTTTTTTTTTTTTCCCAGCAGGAGACGAATCAGATAATGTGGTATTACACTGTTTCACAAAGCAATATCAAAACACATACAAACAGATAATAATTTAATCTGTATTCTTTACATAGCTCTTGAGTTTATAGAGCTCCCTCTGTCTGTAAGAGGACGCACGACTATCCTGAGATTCACAGTTAGCTTTTCTTTTTTTTTTCATGTGGTCAAATTCCATGACCTTGCGAGAACATTTCTACGTTTATCCTTCACTGTGTGTTTGTTTTTCACGCACCATCCCACACAGGAAAGTCCCAAATGGCCTCTTATTTACAAAAGATTTTGGAGCTGTGAAGACTGAGACTAACGCTGCATAGATGATTCATTCACACCATCAGAAACATGGAATTTTTTTATTTTTTTTTTTACTTCAGAGCTCCCAGAGTGACAGAGTCCTTCCCCTCGGAGGAGTACGGGAGCGAGGAGCGTTTCGTGGTGGCATAGGAGGTGTACGGAGGGGCGGAGGAGGCGGTGGAGGGGAACAAACGGGGCAGGGTGGACGTAGAGGAAGGGAGGCCTTGCGTTTGCCTCTCGGGGGGGCAATAGGCCGGAGAGGAAGACCTGCCTTTGCTCTGCAGGCTGCTGCTGCTGCCGCTCTGCAGGGGAGAGCTGGAGGTTTTCGGGCCGCGAGTGAGAGACGACGTGGAGGAGCTGGAGAGAGGTGAGGTCCTCATGCCGTAACCCAGAATGCCTGTGCTCATCAGAAACTCCCTGGAGCCGTAAGCCGGGGGAGTCGGCCCTCTGGAGCCCGGAGGTCGCATGTTGTCTGGCGGTAAACTCCTCCTGCTGGGGATGTCGTAGATCCCCATATCCGGGCCGTAGAGCGCCTGGGACCTGGCTTGGAGACGGAGCATCCTCTCCCTCTCCTCCAGCTCCCGTCTCTCGTGGAGGGATGCCATGATGGTTTTTGAAAAGTTGTCGTAGCGCGCGGCAGCCGACTTGGGAGGCGTCAAGTCCTGTGGAACGAGATCCCGGAGGCTGTCTCGGAGACTCTGGGAGGTCATATCTCGCATGACAACACCTGGAGGGGGAATGTCTCGTGATGTTACACTTTGGGTGGCAAGGTCTCTTGGCATCAGCCCTTGGAAAGCGGGGGAAGAGTCTCTTTGAATAAAACCTTGGAAAGAAGGTGACGGATCCCTGGAGGTGAGACCCTGCAAAGAGGGCGAGAGGTCTCGAGGCTGAGGGGAATGTCTGGAGACACCCATGAACACGGGACTGTAGGTGTGGGGAGGAGGCCGCTGCACGGCTCCATCCGTGCCCAGGGACATGAAGTGAGGGTGGTAGCTGACGGAAGGAGCCCCTCTCTGGGCCAGGAACTGAGGGTCTGCGGGGTTGATGAGGTTGTCGTAGGGGAGGCTGCTGCTGCTGCTGCTGCTGTGGTTGGCGAGCAGGCTGGAGGAGGAGATGATGCCCGGCGGAGGGTTGGATCCCAAACCGTCAGCGTGCATGGCAGGCAGGTGGGATTTGCTGCCGTGGCGGCTGCTGTGTTTCAGGGTGAGGGAACGGGAGTTGAGCGTCAGAGAGTTGAGCTGCAGCGAGCTGGACTGGAGGGGAGGCTGGACAGGCAGGCCGGCATGATGGCTGCCTCTCACGGGGCTTTCTCTGGACTCAGAGCGGAGGTCAAGACCTTTGTTGTTCCCTTGATGCTCTGATGTCTTCAGCAACTGAGCAACACAATACAAAACAGGCAGCAACGTCTGTCAGACACAGATCAAAATCAGAACTTATATATTGAGGATCACACTCTTTCCAAAAAGTCACCTGCTCTGGAGGGATGGGTGACGATCCTCTGGATATGGCCTCCAGGACCGGACGCAGCTGTGGCACGGTGGGGATAGACACAGGGATGATGGATTTGGTGTGATGTCCCATCTCTGGAAATAAAATCATCTTGTGATTAATTGTAGGCGCTAGAAATCTGCAAATACATCCTAGCAATGACATTTTAAGAGAGTTCTAAAGGATTTAAGACAATATTCTAGATTTTTTATTGTCAGCAAAACTCACAAACAGACCAATACCAGTTGTCTCAAAATACTTTATGATTTTCCCTCATCTGTCTAAAGCACTCAGCTCAAAGCCCGCTGCTTTATACCGAGGCTGTAAATCTTTAAAGTGGATTACAGGCGTATATTTTGCAATTTTTTTTAACCCTCTGAACCTCAAAGCTCGCCAGCGGGTTTGAGAGGCATGTTGTCTTTTAAAAAATCTCCCCAAAACAACATCATTTATCAAAGCTTGAAACCGTAAAAACATAAAGAATCAAAGAATTGTCAGATTTCTGACAGACCTTGAAGTAATAATGTGTGACATGCTGTTTGGTCAAAAAACAATCACATTATTCCACATGTCGCATTTTGTAATTATCCAGAAATTTACTGGACCCATAAAAGTAAATGTGCTCCTCAGAGTAACCATGGCAACATTAGCTACTTAGCTGCAACAAACAGTCATGTGACAAAGATTCAGAGACTTTTCTGCTAAACTGGGCTGAACTGCAGGCTGTGTTTACACATTATGGAAGCAAACTAAAAACAAAAGTCAAAGATATCTATAGTATGTAGAGTCATTAGGGATGCACGATATATCGGCGACCACATCGGTATCGGCCGATATTAGTGTTTTTTCCGATATATCGGTATCGATCTGATGCTTTTTATGTGTACTTTTATACTTGTTTGCACTATTTCTTATATTTATATGTACATTTTTCTGTCTAGTATGTGTGTATCTCCATGTGTCATGCTGCTAACAACAATGTGAATTTCTCCACCGTGAGATAAATAAAGGCAGATCTTATCTTATCTTGTCTTATCTTATCTTATCTTATCTTATCTTATGTTTTTACTTAAATGATCCTGGACTTGAATGTTAAATATGTTTAAATATGTTTTACTTTTGTTAGACTATGTGGCCTAATTTGGGCTTCTTTTCAATAGTTTTCACGTTCTCACAGTGCTTACTTATACTCATTTTTCAGTGTGAACAAAAATTGAATATCAACATCGGTAATATCGGTTATCAGCGATATCAAAAATCTTGATATCGGATATCGGCCAGAAATTTTAATATCGTGCATCACTAAGAGTCCCCATTTTCTTTTTCAAGCATTAGCAACAACAATCGTACATCTTGATTCCAGATTTTCATAGTATTTAATGACACACAGAAGACATTTTTAACTTCTCTCTGGTGCACAATAAGGCCACAATGAGTAAAAATGTGACAGGAGCAAAGAAAGATCCAGAAATTGCTTTGGATTCAGAGAGTTAAACATGTAAAATCATCTCCTAAAATAAAAGGATAACTGAATAACTGATTTGAACTACTGACTGATGAGTATTTATTGCAGTAGCCAGGAACAGTATTCACATCTTGGTGTGGAGATGAACTAGAATATTCTTTGTAATGAAACAATGCTAAGAGAACTGTTGTCAAAGATCCTGCTGCAGCGTTGTGTGTGACGTGGTTAACACAGGCGTCTGTGTCACTGTACAGTACCGTCCATGGCAGCTACTTGGCTTCTCAGCAGACCGTGGTCCGGCTTCGGAGGCAGCGGCGGTGGAGTTTTCTGTTGTTTGATGTCTGACAGCTCGACAGCTCCAGTTGAGGGTCTCTGGCAGGAAGGGAAAAAAAAAAACCCACAGAGACATGAGAGATATATCTCATATCACTTGACAACTGAGGTCACAGTGCTTAGACAGTGAGTGAGGAAATATTTAACCGCTCATGCATACTTTATTTTGGACATCCCGGCTCTGTATCCCGTTGTCCCTGACTTTCACCGGCGTCTGCCTGTCAATCTCCGGCCTCAGAAACGGAGGCTGGATGTGGATGACGGTCTTCTTGCAGGGCCTGGCTGTGTACCTGGTGTCACAGCAAAGCGTCAGGCAACAAGGTACGACAAGGCTGCCTACAAAGCTGAAGATAAAGCAGGTAAACGCTTACTTTGGAGAAATGGGACTGCAAACCAGATACTCCAGGTTGTTACAGCAACCTCTTGTAAAAGGATTTACTCCTCCTTGGAACTTCCCAGTTACCTACGAGAACACATAGAGACGTGCTTTATTATTATTGTACGGTTAGAATATGTTTTATTGCTGAGCTCTGAAGATCGACTTTGAGGATCGACACTGGAGCAACATTTCCACACTGCTAGGCGGTGGTTTAATATTAGAGAAATCAAACTCACCTGCTCATTGGTGGTGCGTCCTCTGGATACCAGATAAAAGTGGAATCCAGTGAGGCCCAGGACGGGGATGAGAAACAGCCCCGATATACTGATCACTACCAGACTGGAGGTATGGATAAGGAAAACTGCTTCACGTTAGTAGCAATAAAAACGCATAAAAATAGCACAGATACACAGATGCCTTGGTTGGTGAATTCAGTTTGGTTTTTCAACTTCCAGACAGCCCTTGTCTTTATTATCTGTGACACATTTGGTCAGAAAGCTAAGCCAAACTAAATCTAAGCTAAACATTTTGATATCTCGTCAAAATCAATTTATGTCAACAAATTCGTCAAAAATTAGGTGTTTGTTCGGGACATTTCTGCTGAGCTGAACAAAGGGCTGTGCTTTTGCATAGAGAAGACAAATATCAAATATCTACAATATGCGGAGTTAGCATTTTATTTTTCCCGCTTTGTCCCATTTTCATAAATTGTTCTTGATTTATGGCGTTTTAACTTTATTATACAGTACAAAACACAAATTTAAGTTCTCTCTTCTCTTTACAACATTGAATTATAGTCTATTTTATTTGTGTTTATCTCAAAAAAGACTCGTCTGTGTCAAGGTGAAAACTGATTTCTACAAAGTCATGGCGATTAATTAAAAATATAAAACGTAAATTAAGCGTCACCTCCTATAAGTCACAGTTTAGTACACACTCCAATTTAACCCCAGTCTTCTTTGCAGAACTGTCAGCTTGCACAGAGATCGTGAGCGTGCAGCCCCTTTCAACACCAGCCATGAATTCAGTATCAAAAAGCAGTAAAAGGGGAAAACTTCCAAGAGGGGGTGAATGCTTTTTTACAGACACTGTAGATCAGGGGTGTCCAATCCTGGTCCTCGAGGGCCACAGTCCTGCATGTTTTAGATGTGTCCCTCTTCCAACACACCTGATTCAAATGATCAGCTCATCATCAAGCTCTGCAGAAGCCTCATAACGATCCTGATCATTTGAATCAAGTGTGTTGGAAGAGGGGAAACATCTAAAACATGCAGGACTGTGGCCCTCCAGGACCAGGATTGGACACCCCTGCTGTAGATGCTACACACGTATGTTGAGCGCACTTAAGGATACGTGACGGTGCAGTGCAGCTTCCATAACTCGTCCATGTGGTGCAGGACGTATATGAGGCCGAAGCTGAAGACGCCAATCATGTGAACGGTCAGCGACAACAGAAACAGGAAGAAGTAGCGGTAGTTCCTCCTCCCGATGCAGTTGTTCACCCAGGGACAGTGGTGGTCGAAGTCCTGAGCGTGAAAACAAACATCCTCACATCAAACATTACCCAGCTATGAAAAAGCAAGCATTCATGTGTAACTTGTGGGATATTAGAAAGTCCACGTTGCACTCTCTAAACACACGGTTTAATACAGGCTGTCTGAACCCTTTTTTTTTTTTTTTCCAATTGTATTTCCACTGAGGCCACAAAGGATCTGAGAAAAGGATTAACCTGATTAATGAGATCTCTCTCTCCCTCCATCACCCTCTGTCCATCATTCCCCTTGCAGAAATCCCCCTTTATTGACTTTCCCCTACACACTGCTGCACTCACTCACCTCCACACAGTGATCGCACACGCTGCAGTGGGAGCAGCGTGGAGGTCTGTAGAAATGACACGACGCGCACCACTTCATGCGCACCTGGACGCCCTTCACGTCCACGTTCTTGTAGAGCGGAGCGCGGAACTCATCATCCTTGTCCTCGTCCTCGCTGGCTGGAAAAACAATAGGTGGAAAATTTGCTTGAATAGCTCTCGGAGAGCGACCCTTCCTGCCGTAAGCAGTAACTTGACTTTGATTACTAACCCATCGGGAGCACACCAGCATCCATAAAGGTTGCCATGGTGAAGTTGGCCAGCACAAAAAGGAAAATGATGGCACAGCATGGTGGCACAGCAGGGCAGATGGTCACAGCCAGCCATGGGCATCTGAATACACAGAAAGAAAAAATAAAAACAGTGTACTTGTGTTCATTCAAAGCAGAGTTCTTGTTGTAAATAGAGGGTTCGATGGTGTTTTTGAGGCCCAGCGAGCGTTCATCCCCGAGAGGTTGAGGTTAACACAAATCACAGCTACAACAAAGATTTTCAGGGATCATCTTCATCCCGTTTATTTTTGATGGGAGCAGCGGGTCCCAAAAGTAATTGTTTACAGTAAGATAAGCATGTATTAGCGTGTGTTCGCCCTGTGCCCTCAACGGGGGGGATTAAGTGATGGGGTCTCTCCTGCAGGAAAACTAACTTACACAAAGACTGAACGGTAACTTTCATTATCAGTTTATTTGTTTTCAGTTAATCTTGCATTATTTAATTTCTGAAAAACTTGGAGGAGGGCATCACAAGTTTTCTGAGCAGAGCATAATGATGTCAAATTGCTTGTTTGATTAAAAAAAAGGAAACTAATTAAGCACAGAAAAGGTGCAGATCTACATATTGGAGAACTTTGATCCAGCTGGTTAACTGTTTCAACCCTCGACAATTAGACTTTTTAAAGCCATCACACCTGAACCGGCCACACAAAGAGATGTTCATGCTGGATAACAACAGTAGTTTGTGTATGATCATAGCAGGGATTGTAATAAATGGTCAAATATGTATGATTGAGCCAACAAAAGAAAGGAATTAATGGTAAATGTAAGTGTTTTTTAACTAATGTGAACATATTCCTACCACATTTACACTCTTCTATATTATATGTGGAATATTTTGTCAGGATTTTAAACTGTGTTAAATATTTGTGTGTGTGTGTGTGTGCTCTAAAATGCTCGACAACTATCCTCCACCGAGTGTGAGTGTGTGTCGACGTGCTGAATTACACCGAATGATTATATCTCAGTGTGAGATTAGAGGGAGGGGCAGAATAATCAGGTTACGGTAGTAGACGGAGTGAAAAGATTCACTGGATGATATTAACGGTGTTTGATTGAACACCACTTATTTAACCCATATACTTGTACATATACATGCTCTGAAGGTCTGGTGTTGTATCAGTATGAGCAGAAATGAATAAAACATCTATGAAAATGTGTAGTAGTAGCACATTTTTTTTCCAGATATGACTTGACGGATAAGTAATGTGAGGGGATTAAACACCAAGTCTGAGTGGAAAATCAAAACACTAAAGCAATTAAGAGTCCCCCTGCTTCATTTGTGCACTTCATCCCAGTGCAGCTCCAAACCCCAAACCCCTGGGCTGGCGGTGGGGGAAGGGTCTCCCCCCCTGCTAGAGGAACGCCTGCTGATGCCATGCCAGCTGCAAACCCAGTAATCCCCTGGATTATGAACTCTGGATTACAGACCATTTCTGCCAGTCCAGTGCATAGTGGATTCCTCACATCAGATACACAAGCATGTGCGGTCAAAGCTCACCATATATCACTTAACGCGCCGCTATAGATTGCATACCATGAGATAAATCCAATTGATCCACAACTGGTAGAGTGCAGAAGACTCCCTGTTATGACACATGTTCCCGCCAGATTTGCAGCCGATGAGGAAATATTGGAAATAGGACACGAATTTTCTTTGTAGATTCGGACAAATTTAGCAATTTAATGAAACGCTGAGAATCTTAAGATGTAACAATGTGTGACACAAAAAGATTAAGGAGCAGAATATGATCTCCCTCCCCCTTCCTCATTCGGCTGCTATTCAGGATTTGTGTCCAAGTTCTTTCCACTAAATGTTCGACATGTGCTTTAAGTGTCGTAGCTGATGGGTGACATTAAGCTGTGTAACTCAAGCTGGTTAGTTACAACACTCTTAAACAGGACCTGAATAATGTGCTCTCCACTGGTTAATTCTAGCTTGCTGCTCAATTATTAGCAGGAACTAAGTGTTAATTTCTCCTCTTAAATGTTTAAAAAAATGCATAGATGCGAACCAGATTACTACGCCTCTGTGTGCTGCACGACGAGCCTCCATCATTGGGCTGAGACCATCTGGACCACAGGGAGGGACAGTTCATTACACTGCAGCACAGCAAGACAAGCCCCACCTAATGAAACAGCCCGGGCAGAGCTCTATTAAATCACACAGAACAGTAAGCTGCTCTGCAATCTGCACGCTGGCCCTCATCCCTGCAGTGGGTCAGTGGCACAGCAGACGCAGCCGCACAGTCGGTCAAGCCGCAAGTTCACCACCGCTGGCAGCCGCGGCCCCTTTAGTAAAATATTGTCACGGCTACATAAATGACATCACCGTCGTGTAATCTGTCAGAGAGGCAAAAAAACAAAAAAAAAGGTGGCGAGCACGTTCCTGCAGCTGCAAGAAAAAGCCTTAAAACTGTGTAGAAATGAGTTTCTATGTGTTTTATTAAACCGGACAAACAGTTTGCTCAGCTCCTTTTAAACTCTTCCAATTCCACTGACAGTTCAGCTCCTATAATGAGAAACTATGACACGTTCTAAATGCAGAAAATTGAATTGTTGAGCAATAAAGCACAGCTTTGGTCAATTCAGTACACAAAGGGGGTTTTGCTGCAGCAGCCTTGCTCGGTCTGGTAGAAGCATTATCTAAAGGAGGCCAATATGTGCCAGGTTCAGACATAATGCAGGCGAAACTGTGTTATTGTTAACCTGTATGTGCAACTCTTAACAAATGTATGAGACCACCTATCGAATTCGTTAAGCACTGTATATATAAATGCTTTAATGCACACTCAGCTCTCCACAGTTTACCATTTTGAACAGGAATGAGGAATTCAAAACTGAATTCACCTTTTTATACCCAAATTTGAGCCTCAGAAATTAATCAAGCACAACATTCAACCACTAAAACTATTTTTTCTGCTCAGGAATGCAAGTAAATAACTACAATTTGACATCTTGGTTAAGAACTAACAATGCGCTTTACTATTTTTTCAGTTTTTTAGGAAAATAATACACTTGAAACTTCACTGATAACAATAATAGTTATATTTTAGCATCAAAAACATCATTTCTGTTAAAGAGCTTCTACATACTGGTGTATTAACCATTACAGAAACATAAAACGTGATTGTAGTAATTACCAGTGCTGTTTATTTAGGTGGCACAAACCTTACACTGGGTGGGGGTCTAATAAATTTGTTAAATGAGGATTTAACATCCTGCCAGTGCCATTTGAACAATCTTCCCTTAAGTGTTCAACTCTATGTACAACTCCAATACATTTAACCAAAATAAATGCGCTTTTATAACGTAAGAAAGTCGACTTTTCTAGATTCAGTATGTTAAAAAACTACATTAGGCAGAACACAACTAACAATCTGAATTTTTCCCGGCCCTTTCTCATGTTTGCGACCTTTGTTGACCGTCGCTGATCTGCCTGAGCTTAACAATGCGCCGAACCTTAAGCTCTAACCCAAACAAAAGTTCACGGTCAGAGGAACAAAAGCAGGAAGCCGGTAACTGAAGAATTTTATCAGGCAAAGGAAGACAAAAAAAAAAAAAAAAAGTCTTCGAGTCAAATCTAAAGGTCGTTCTGTAGCGAACCTGCAGTGGAAACAAAAAATGAAAGTCTGCATGCCTGCACTGCTAATGCTCACGGGGAGCTGCTGACGCTGATAATTGCATGAATAATACCAGATAAAAGGGTATGAATGACTTAATATGCAACATGACTGCAGGGTTTGGAATAATGGTTTAATTCTTGCACAGGAATCTGATGGGGCGATACGAACGCATCGTTGTTTTGTGGTGAGGAAGTGGCTCGACCTGGAGTCGCTGTAATCCATTTGGAATAGGGGCCGACCGATTACCGGCCAAGTGGATTATCAGATACAGCATTCAGAGTTTGTTTGTTCTCGATTATTGGTTTTGTTATAATTTTACGGGAGTCCAAATGAAATAAATGCACCACTCTGCATCTGATGCTTCCTCTGTCTGTAACAGCCAATCAGCACTGACGGATAAATCTTGAAAATTAAACACGTAGAAGGTATTTTATGTTGAAGTTTGTCTTATTTTAAGGTTTCTTTTCCTACTAATGTAATCTGGTTTCAAACATGTCATCCTCGGATGCTAATAATCGCTATCGGCCTTGAAAAACCACATCGTTCGACGTCTAATTCGGACGCGTCTCCATGTGAGAATACAGAAATATGTCACTGTGACAGCTCGACTGCTGTCTAATTGCTGCAGACTTTTGGGAAATAGAGTCAGACTCGTGGGCTCGGAGAGGTTGAGAGGCCCTGATGAACTCCATCTGTACTCTGAGAGAAGGAAGGGAAAAAAAGAAAAATCAATGACCCGCTGACATGATAGATAGAAAAGAGACTGCTTAATTGGGACTGCAATGCTAAACCAGCAAAACCAGGACGCTGCGAACGACTGAGCGAACAAGTGATGATTCTGCTGCATTTGAGCCGAAATGACCTCGCAACAGAAACATTTTTTTAATTAAGACGGCCCTCAAGAACGGAGCACCGGATTCAGATAATCCCCCTGATGTGTCTGCGCGTCTCCCAGCGACTGTATATTGATCTTTAAATAAAAAACAGCTGCACATCTCACCCTCAGACTGTCCAGCAGCATCACTTTTGTTATAATGTCTGCGATTTTTACTCGTCTTGTGGGTGTCTTAAATGCCCTTCCAGCCTTTTGTACTACAGCTTTTTTTATTTGCTCTCGCAGCCTGGAAGTACATAAAGTAGACTGAAAGGCCACTTATATCAGAGTTAAGTAGCGACTATTGCTTTCAGGCATAAATCTGGAAAAACGTAGTGTTTCTGATATGAGCAACACAAGATCCCTTCAATGGAAATCGAGTCATCTATAATTGTTTGATTTGTTAACATATGGTGTATTTATATGCAAGAAAAGACACGTTATGAGTGAAATAAGCGGTTGCACCACAGCTGAGCATTTCCATCTTTAAACTGCTGATAATAGTCTCAAAAACACAGATTCAAATTTGTCGGGTTTCATACGTAACAAACCGAAAGAACCAATCGTGTTAACGTGTGGGCGTGGCTTCCTGTGTCTTTATTCTTATTGGTTTAAACTAGAACTGCAACAACTATTAAATCTATTAGCAGCTATTTTGACAATTAATTGATCATTTTAAGTATTTTTTTTGTTTGTCTTTTTAGAAAAAAAAACAACAAAATTGTCTAATACTGATTTCTTAAGTTTGAAAAAAATAAATGAATAAATAAAATCTGTTCCATTATGACAGGAAACTGAATATCTACTGTATAATATGCGAATAAAACAAGACATAACCAGCTTTGGGAAACAGAAAATGACATTTTTAAACTATTTTTCTGACATTTTAGAGACCAGAAAGCTAAATGAACTAGCAAATGTTTCAATAATGTAAATAATATCCATTGCAGTCCTACTTTGAACATGTATGGCTGAAAAACTCTCACAACTTGCCAGTGTGTAGCGTAGAGCAGCCGTACAGTGTCAGAGCTGTAGGTGAGCTGGTGTGCTTGAGCTGCTGCGAGTTGGGAAGGAGCTTTCATACATTTGCAGAGTTACGTAAGGCTTTCTTTACGGAGAAACCCTAAATATGTAACTTTCAAACAAAACCCGAGATGACTTTTGAGTAGCTGAATCAACATCCAGAGACGGATGTAACTTGTTTCATCTCCGTCATATCTGTAATTCATCAGCTCCAGCCGGAGCGACTTCCTGCCTTGAAAAGCCGAGACAGACAGGTGTCATCCTCTGTTCAGTCCCACCTCAGTAACACTGAGTCACAAGGACACAGCTTGTCATCCGCCATAACGTCACCTCGGCCTTCACCCTGGCTACGGTGAGTCATGGGAACAAACAAAGTAGTCGGTGAATACCAGCCGGTCAGGAGCTATATTCATGATCTGGAAGTCTTAACTTTTTAACCTTAGAGGCAGACTAGACGACCTAAAAGTACATAAAGACGAAAAAATCCATTTAAAGGTTGAGAGTAAAGCAAAATAGGAACCATAAAAACATGAATATTTACAATAAGAAGCAGCCTTCGTCTTTAGATCAAATGCTCCTAATATGTCATATATATTTTTATTTTAGAAAATTAACTTACAAGTTGCTTTTTTAAATATTTTATGCTAATTTATTTTATTTTACTGATTCTTTTATTCATTTTATATTAACCTGTGAGTCATTTCTTGCTGCCTATCTGTGAACACTAACAGCACCTTTGGTCAGGTTGTTCCTATAAATAAGGTTGATGTGATTTACAAAAGGAAACAGAAGTGAACCGCAACATCCCTGCGCGCTAACAGCACACATTTCCCTGTACACGTATATCCACAATGCAGCTGATGGTAAACTCAAAGATTCCAGACTCCACTTTCCCAGATGGGGGGATCACATGGCATCAGGCAGAGGATCCTAATCCCATACCCCCAATCTGGTGTCAGATTCCAGTGGAAAACGGTGCGCGGCTGGAGAACACAGGAGAAACTAGGACAGATATGGCTACAGAGGTCAGGGGTCGCTAAACCAGCATAGAGCTGATGAGGTGGGAGCCTTCAGTCATTAAGTCAATAGAGGATATCAGAAGGTTTCTCCATATTGAAATTAGGCTCTTTTGACTGTAACGAGCTGCTTGTTTGTTCCTTTTGTGGTCCTTAATGTGCATATAAAAGCTTGAATCACAAATACACCACCCGGCCCCTATAGTCATCACTCCAATTGGATTCTCAGGGTATTACGGGATATTATATTAAATTTTTTTTTCCTTGCACGCCAGCCCGAGTCCTTCTCAACCGCCCGCTTATGTCCGCCTTTTCCTCACAAGTAGGTCAAAACAAGGAGGCTAAAATTAACTTTTTTTTTTTCACCAAATGTTGCATTGAAAGTTTCAGTCAGGTTTGTCAGATCTTGACACCAAACTATGCAGGGTGAGGGGAGTTTGTGAAGCTGTGACAGGATCTGATGTCCTCCGGCTACGTGACACATGTGGGTCACGGTGACAGGTCGGTATATCTGCTGATTGTGGGTGGCTTATCCCCTGAACTGTGCTTACTCCGAGTCCTCAGGGTGCAAACTGGGCACCGAGCAGCCCCGGCCAGGCAGCCAACCAGGTCAGATGGTGGGTCTGCCAGCAGGGTGAAGTCAGAGGAGAGGAGATGGGTTTTTTCCTTCCTTCCTTTAAAAAAAACTGTTTTTAAAGATGGTTTGGGCAAGTTTGGAGATAAAGTAGAGATTAAATGTGAGATTAAAATTGCAGTGATTAATGGGGATAGATTTGTGAATGTTTGCCAGAAATGAAGGTGATATTTGTAGTCCCAAATAAATCAAATCCATACATATATACACACACATATATATATATTATTGAATGAATGGATGAATGAATGATGGAGGTGATGCAGGCTACCTGAGGAATGACGGGGCTGTGGATGGATGGATGGATGCATGAATGAATGGACACATGAATTTTCCAGCAGTTTTCGCCGACTTACGTGAAGACGAAGAACAGGGAGGTAGAGCCGACCAGGAGGCAGGCGGCGGTGCACACCGGGATGAAGGCGCTGGGCTTCAGCGAGTCGGCGCCGCTGGCGGGCATCCTGTCCTCTCCGCACTCATCAGTGTCTCAGAGCGACGAAACCGGCAGCAAATACAGCGGAAAAAGTGTCTGTAGAAAGCCCCTCGACGAAGCGCACAACAGCGAGAATCATAGTCAGAGGAAGAAGAAGAAGAAGGAGGAGGATGAGGAGGAGGAGGAGGAAGAGGAGCCTGAGAGGCAACAGCCCGCAGCATCCGTCCCGTCTGTCCCGGCAGGCAGCTGCCGCCTCCCGCCCGTCCCAAAGGTGGTGCTTTTACTCATGAATGACGCGCAGCTCCACTACACCCAGAGACCCTGCTGGGATCCCACCAGATGTTCTTTTCAACACCAGCTCTGGATTCAGCTCCTCTAAAGCTGCCAGCCGTGTCCACTGCTGACTGTGTTAATGATCTAATAACTAAATAAAACACGTCTGAAGAACGCCACAAAGCAGCAAAGGGTTCATAATAAGAGCTGTAACTGGTGGTGGTTTGATAATTAATGCCTGATAGGGTCTTCTGCTTAAAGCATAAAAATTACTCACATAACACAAAAAAGTAAAATAATTAATTAATTTAAAAAAAGAAAAAAAAATCCACCAGCTCGAAAGGCAAAATTAGACAAAAAAGGAAACTAAATAAAAATACAATCAATTTCCATAATTAAAAAACACATGATCACGTGTAATTTAAACATAAAAACAATTAAATTCAGTACAAATGAAGTACATCACACCACTGCATGCATTAGACGAGACAACAATAACACTA